GTGCGGCAGTTGTGCTTCTGACTCCGACGTTCCTGCCTCCTCCACCCTCACTCACTTCCGTCGTGACTGCGCTTGCGAGTAGTTGTGTCCACAGTTCACCCTTATTTCTGAAATTCCTGCTTCTTCAAGATGCCTGACCAGGGATCCCAAACGCACTCGTCGGGCTCGTCGGATGCTCCGTCCACCCCAGCTGTGGAGAACCCTGCTTCCAACCCATCCAACGAGACGCAACGGCGTCCAGTCGTCTCTGCGCCTCAGCACGCCATGGCAGCTCCCACCCCTTCGTCGGCGCTGTTTGGTTCTCCAGGCCCCTTCCCTTGGCAACATGCGACTCCAGGGCCCTCGTACAATGCTTCAGGACCGTCGTACAATGCTCCAGGACCCTCGTACAATCATTTCCCTCAGCAAGGGCAGGCTTCCAACGTACAGTATGCTGCCACTCATCAGTTTGGACCTCCTGGGACAAGCTCCCACAACCCGCCTACGTTCTTCGGTTACGGATCAGCTCAAGCGCAAATGACTTCCTGCAACTACGGGGGTGGTTCACCCTCTACTGCCACAAGTTCTTTAACCATGTCGCAGGCGACTCGTGGACGAAGCGGTATGCTTTTATCTTTTTAAAAAGTACATTTCCTTTCCTTGTTGTCTATCAACCTTATCTTTGGTTCTTTAGTCTGTTGTTCGGTGCGGTGCGCTTTTATCTTAGATTTTTTTTTATTATACTGATCTTAACCTGCCATGAGGCAATAGACCATTCGGCTAAGCCGAAAAAGAAAAAGAAAACGAAGAAGCAAAAATGTATTTTGGGACTTAACGTACCTTCTAACACAGCATTTTACAACTCTTTCACGTTCGAAATGGGTTTTTAAAGCAAATGTGATATTTTTAAGACAACAAATCACTCACAAATTGGCCCTATCAGCCCTAAATAATACCTTTGCTTCTCTTCTTTTTTGGCTCAGCGAAATGATCTATTATGAAGATTGAAACAAATATAAACAAACAGCTCTTCATATCTTGCTTGATCCCCTGATGGACTGGGGGACACTGAGTCTTGTATTAAAGCACAAGCACCTGTCAGAAATTTAACTTATTTTGTATTTCCCTTATTATTAGGTGTATCTTAATTTACGTCTAAATTTAAAGAAAATGTATTTGTGTTTGTTGCAGTTTTACCTTGGGCCATGCAGCCAGGGGATGCCACAGTCACAGGCCCACTGTCTGGACAAGCAGCTAAAAAGACTTTCCAAGAGGTGGAAGACCAGTGTGGCAACTGCTTCGTGCACAAGAAGGACCTCAGGATGCTATTGCCGTGTTCCCACATGCCAATCTGTATTGATTGCCTGAAGACTGCATCCAGGACACAGCACCATCTGCGATGCTACAATTGCAGGCAGCCTGTCACCGAAACAATTAGTGTGAGCAAAGTTTCTCCTAAATTTTAATGAATATTTTCAGTGTTAAAACTTCCCTTTGTCTCAGACTGTTTTTGTTCTATTGTTATTCATGTTGGTATATGGTTGATCTACTGCTCCAGCTTGTTCATTTTGCCATATGAGTCACATGACATGGTTTTGTATTCTTGTGCTCTTGTTGTGCTGCTATATGCTGTAGCTTTTGAGTTTAGACTGAATTCGCT